CCCCAAAACCCCAAAACCCCAAAACCCCAAAACCCCGAAAAGTGATCTTAGGATAGAGGAAGGATAAATTTAAATATTTTCATGGCTGTGGTTGACATTTTGAGGAGGCTCTGGGGTTGGGATGTCGGATTTGGAGTATGTTGCGAATGGTAATAAGATTCAGCTTATAAGGCATAGTGTGATGAAGGCGAAAGGGATTATTGGGATGTATAAGATCATTCCAGTGAATGATAGAGGGGTTAAGAGGCAAAATAATATTGCTTTAAATTTGTTTGAGTCAGAACATTCCTCTCTGATTGCACGCACGTTGTAGTGGAATAGAGCAAAAGGAAGCAATAATATAAATAGCATACCTCTAAGGAGTCTTTTCCAATCTGATAGTTCAGTATTGCTGAGATTTCCTCTTGAAGGAGAATTCTTCTCATACTTGTTCACTTTCTTCCAGCCGAAGTCAAGACCTCAAATAACACATTTCACATGGTTACAGCCTTTGTTCTTTTCAATGATAGTTTTGCAATTTGGTCAATGTTTGACATAATCTTTGCGCTGGAATTTTATCATCCCTTTATCTCTGACATCTTTGCAAGTCTGATCAGGATGCCATGGTACATGTCATCCTGTACAAAATGTGTACGTTCATTGTCAAATGGCCTGATTCATCTCTCCTGGCTCAACATTTTCACACTGAACAAACATGCTTCAATCAGGTCTGGGGCACCAAAACAAAGAGCAGTCTCTGTTGACTTGACTAATGAGCTCAAATCTTTCTTTATTTGAGTCTAAGTTTCTTAGTGATAAGCTTGTTGACAATCCTTCGTTCAATCACTTTTATAATCAATCTGGACAATTATTGTCGGTGATGCCGTTCTGTATCTGGTACATCAAATAGAAGCCAATGCATTCAGCTCAGAACTTGTGTTTGCAGTCAAGTTTCACCTGATCCTTAACTTCTGATAAGCAAATTGCTCATATTGGAGGCTTTTGGTCCTATATTCAGAAGTGAGAAACTGTCCTTTCCGATTTCAAGCCAATATACTATTCATCAATTTTTGAAACGAAGATATAAGAAGGATTTTCAGTAATCTAATAATTACGAAACAAGGAGTATTAGAAGCGGCTAGACCTATAGCTGATAGAAATAGAGCAGATAACTTCAAAGATACTCCAGAGTTCTGAAGTATCCCTTCATTTAAATTTTAAACTGGACAAACAAAATCTCACAACCTCCAAAGCCGTAAGAAGTTTATCAGAGCGCTGCTTACAGATAGAATACTTGTGTTGGCAGAATGATTTTTGGAATTATCTGATTCCCATTCTTTCTCTCCTTCATCAGACAAAGAATTCTTTTCTTTGCCCAATATCAAAGTTTGGCTAGTCTCTACTGTAAAATTCTGGACGAGAGGACTGTGGATTTTGCCATCTAAGTTCCTGGCTTTGAATTTTTTCTTGTGTCTGATCAGGTCTTCAACTCTCATTTGGTTGTACATCTTAGCTTCCCTTTTGAGCTTTTCTGCAAGAAGAGCTGATTTCTTCTCTTCCTTAACAATTTGTTCTTGAAGAATGCTCTCTTGGTCAAATTTACTTGACTGAGGTTGGTCCTAGATAATGTGTTATGCAACATTTTACAGCAGAATTTTCAACAAAGTTGTGAAATTTCTAAAATTCAGCTTAATTTGTACATTAGACAACTTTAAAATACATGAAGTGCCTATTTTCTCCACTCAAACCCATCGACCAAAAACTGCAATAAAACTAAACAACAGTGGTAGTTATAATCACTTCTCTTACTTTCATTAATAAATGATTATCTTATATCCCAATTATTTTATACACTTCGGGGTTTTGGGGTTTTGGGGTTTTGGGGTTTTGGGG